TGGAAACAGGTACTCTACTTTTTCTTTTCGCGAATTTATCATGTATTGTATTTTCGGTATTATTGCATACACGAATGCCGGCGGTGTAACGCGTTACATCACTCAGGATTAAACGCGTATAAGAGCCTGGATGAGGTAAGAGTCGTAAACGTGTCGCTCTTGTTTAATGTATACATTAGATAAGGATAACAAGTTAGACAATACGTATATTACAACGTGACGGATTTACGATCGAGATTAACGAGGCAAGAGAGAAAGGGGGAGAGAGATGCGGATGTATATACACCGCGTAAAATAAATCTTCGTACTCACAACATGAAAACAAAAACGTTTTCTTTTATGCTTCACACGATACGAGAAAAAGGAATCTCCATCAAAATTTAGTCAATTTAATTCCGTAAAAGAAATTGCGTATATACATATATACATAGGCGACAGCGAGGAGATTATGGATATTCCAAGACAATAAATAATGGCGATATCAAAAGCACCTGCTTGAGAAAGGCTCGCTTCATTGACGTCATTCAGCAGCGTCCTGGCCGATTTGATTGATCACATTCGCCGCATCCAGTCTTTGCTCGATCAAACATTTTCGATTCGCAGTTCGTCCGCGTAATTAAAGGCTTCTCGTTGAACGTACGAGCGGGCGATATTCTGGTCGTTAATTGCATCCGTGTGTGCACGGCACGCTCGCATGCAGGCGCGGAATCGAGCAAATAACGAACGCGCGATGATTCACAATTTACAGAACGCGCGGGTGTGAGTTTAATATAAATTTCCCGCCGCGAAATATATCCGCGGCCGTTTCAATTTCGTGCGCACATCGCAGATGACTTGCGGGTTAACTAACTCTGATTAGCAGTGTAATTTTATTACACCGTAGCTCCAATTATAACGCTCGTAATGATGACGCGAGAAAACATCGGCGAATTTTGACGTCATGTATGTATGGGATTCAATTTCGTTATTTTGTTACGGCATTTTTTTTTCAAGGTATTTATACACCCTTAGGCGTGTACCGCCAGAAATTGGAGGCGATGCATGCAACAGCGTGTAACTCAAATCTCAATTGTACTTTAAAAAGTGTACCTCGAATTTGGCGATACTATACGCGATACAAGATTAAGAGTGCAATAATTGAGTAATTCTGTAATGTTCACAGACGTAAGACTGACTTTTTATTCATTGAGGATTATATATTCCAAAAAATATTCTTTTGATTCTTTCGGAATTAAGGTACTATTCTTCTGGAACTCTGCGTACAAATTGCGTTCGATATTAAGTTGATTGTTGACGAGAAACTTTAACTAATAACGTCATTAAGTCGAACCTCGATGTAATATTCGATGTTGCAACGTGCTGCCACGATGTAATCCGTCTACATATAGGGCTTTTCAAGCGAGAAATTGAACCCGGAGAGACCACGTGACTAGCGCGTCTACTTGACACTGTAAATACACAGGTTTACAAATATCGGTCAACTTTTGGACCCGAGAAGACAAGAGTGTTTTTTTCACGTATTTTTGCGCGCCGAATTCAAATCCGTCGCCCGTTTCCCGCCATCAGGTCAGATTTTTGAGATTTCATATGTTTGTAACATACAAGGTGTGTCCCAAAAGTCATGAAATATATTTTTTACCGCACCCCTACTGGTCGCAGCGTGTTAGAACCAGTTGGGTGAGGTGGGGGGGGGGGGGGGACCGTTAGCTTCATTGCGCACCAACGGTCAGTCTGCTGCGAGAATCAGAAGAATCAGAATAGCTGATTTAGTGCGCCCTTGTTTCGAGATCACGACGCGCGATGGCTACTTTCTAGCAACGTTGGGCGATCAAATTTTGCACAAAACTCAACAAAAAAGTTACCGAAACTCACGAATTGCTCAAGCAAGCGTACGGGGAGTCTGCTCTATCGTATGTGCAAGTTTCGAGTTGGGTGAAGAAGTTGAAAGAATCAACAACCCAAATCGATGAAAATGTGACTCGTGTGTGTGATTTGTTAAATTCTGACCGACGAATAAGTGTTCAGTTATTAGCTGACACTCTGAACATTCCGAAAACTACTGATGTGCATCGCATCGTTACGTAAATTTGATCGCCCAACGTTGCTCGAAAGTAGCCATCGCGCGTCGTGACGTGGTCTCGAAACAAAGGTGCACTAAATCAGCTATTCTGATTCTTCTGATTCTCGCAGCAGACTGACCGTTGGTGCGCAATGAAGATAAGGGCCCCCCCCCCCTACCTCACCCAATAGGTTCGAACACGCTGCGACCAGAAGGGGTGCGGCAAAAAAATATATTTCATGACTTTCGGGACACACCTTGTATGAGAGAAACTACAAAGGTTTTTGGGATGAAGGAATGCTTAGCGATTATTGTTAGTCTCTAACACGTCAAACGGACCCAAAACAATATACAAACGGCTCAGTTCCACTGCACTCCATTTCTAATTTTTTGTATTTTGTCAAATAAAATGGCAATTTATGGTTGAAAATTGATAAAAATGGTTCAATCATTTATCTCGAAAACCTGACCTAATGGCAAAAAAACGGACTGCGGATTTGTGATCAGCGCTGAAAATTACCTTAAAAACACCTTTTGACTGCTCGGGTCCAAAACCGTGTAAACCTGTGTAATATAATATAATACAAATATTTATTTTTATTGTTCGTTCACTAAAAAGACGTCAACACTATTGTCAATAATAAAAAAGCACGGGCACAACCTACGAATTTACTTTTAGTTTTGTTTCTGAAGTTTCCAAGTTCCGCGTACTAATTGCAGACACTAGTGTAAATGCACCTTTGACATCTGAAAACAATCTTTAAAAACGAGGATAAGGTGAAATAAGAGAGAAAACTAGCGAGGCGGTAGTTCCAATTACTGGAACTTTGTGCCGAGCGCTGCTTTTCGCTGATACTGCGGATCTTGATAAAGAGATAGCGAGGAGCGGCGGTTAATGGAGATGGTAATAAGAAACTGATTGTCGGTGATACGCGCGATAACGGCTATAACATTTCAATCCTGAGATGCAAGCGCTTGTGGTACCATCTGCTGCCATCTGTTTCGCGTGGCACGTGATAATTTCTTTTAAAATTATTGTTTATTTATGTCACAATTAATGTTATAGTTTTAAAAGCTTTGGAAAAAGAGAGAGAAAGAGTGAGGGAGGACGGGAGGAAGAGAAAGAGGGAAAAAGAGTGATTATCAGTAACGCTCAAGTTATATTTAGCCATTACATAGAGTGTTGCAGACACAAAGTGACCTAGTTGCATATATTAAAAGTATCACATACCTATATACACGTTATATGTTAAGTAAAAAGAATTATTACACGACTTTAGGCTGGCAGCTGGTTTATTTGTTTGATTCCGACGTTTCGATCCCATACGGGGTTGTGGTCCTTTTCAGGGAATTAGATAATCTACAAATTTCAGGGAGCAATTGCCATTTAAATTTTTTCGATTACAAGTTTTAGAGGACATTTGCAGCTTAAATTTTTTGCAATTGTCCTCTGAAACATGTAGATTGTCTAATGCCCCGAAAAGAACCGCAACCCGTATGGTCGAAACGTCGGAATCAAACAAATAAACTAGCTGCCAGCCGAAAGTCATGTAACAATCCTTTTTACTGTTACTTAATCATCTACTGGCGATTCACGCTCCTTTGTTGATATATAATATATAAAAATTTTTTTCTTTAATACTGAAAAGTTTCAATTCCTTCTCTCTCTCTCTCTCTCTCTCTCTTTCTCTTATAACTCTTTTTTCTCTTTCAAAATTTACTAAATTTACATTTTAGAATAACATTTTGTACAAGCAATAATTACAACGTAAATAAATGGAAACGTGTTTTATATGGTAGAGAGCTGAATTTTCCCGGCCCAGTGGGCATTACTTTATCTTATTATCTTATTTCATCTTATTTTATCTTTCTAATGTCCCAGCAAAATCTAATGCCCAAAAAATGCCTAGTAATGCCCAGTAATGCCGCAAATCTGTACACCGCAATGCCCTCAGCGTTTTACCCCTCGGTTAAAATTATCTTTATAATCCACGGACAGCAATGATGTCAATCTTATTGCACTTTTCGAAAACTGGGACTTCAGAATTGTCGCAGAATGCAAATATAACTGTGACTAACTGGCATATACCACTCATAATCTCATTACTGTGAGCAAACTATAAGTATCGCGTTATGCTAGCAACTGCGCGTAATTCGAGGCACTTGGATGACGTTGAAATTATTTTGGCAAAACCGACGGATCACGCGAAACCCTCTTTGAAATATAAATCGCTCGTGCAATTATCGTTCCACCGAGAATTCGCGAAACGAAAATTACATTGTGCTTTACGATTCGGTAAAATTTCGTCTCATAATCATGAGGGTATATAATGTCCGTTTCACTTCAGTTTTTATTGGCACAGATATGAGAGACCTTCATAAGTATATTTATTTGATTTATTATAATGCTTTATAACTGAAAGAGAAAAGATTGAGAAGAGACGTATAAAAATGCCAGGTATATTTTCACAACCCGATCTTTTTCCCTCAGGTTTATTCAAGTTTATACATCGAAAATAACTTTTTATCAGATATATAAATTTTGTTCTTTAATATTCCGTAAAGTTTGAATTTCGTCTCGCATCTTTTTTCTCTTACAACTCTCTTTTCTCTCAAGATTTACTAAATTTACATTTTAAGATAAAATTGTAATTATAAATAATTATAATGAATAAATTAATAAATTTTCTTTAATGGCTTCTGTTGCTGTACCATAATTGATAATGTTATTTCTAACAATAAGATAACTTTTAAAAATAATCACCGTGAGATATTTTATTGTTAGTTTATCCAATTTATCAGAGACATCTACAAGACTCCGATATTTTTAGTTTACATTTGTAAATGTAGATTGCTCACAGTTGCTCGTAACACACGATTGATTCTTTCACTTACGCAAGATATCCGCTGACGAACTTATCCCATTTGTTGTTCCAGGGGCTTCGGGAAACAGGGATATCAGTGCCAAGGTAAGAAGGTCAGACCGATCTCATCGGCTTTGCTATCTGCCCAAGACACGTTCGAGGAAAACTAGGGACACGCTTCGCTTGTGTTTCAGTCTGTAGTTTCGTCGTTCACAAGCGATGTCACGAATACGTGACCTTCACGTGTCCGGGGGCCGACAAAGGAGCCGACTCGGACGTGAGTACCGATATTATATATTTAACGCCGAATACGCCTCTAGTCTTCACAATTATCTTAATGCGCAGACTTTTCTTCCTCTTTGCCCTCAGCCAAGGTTTCGTTCTCACTAGCTGTTGATAGACTTTTGTGAGCTTCCGTAGATTTCGCGTGAAGCTTTTTATAAGGATCTAGTCTTGATAAATTTGACTGATGTCAAACGCACGAAATTTAATAATGCTGATAATGTATAACAACGATAAGTTATTTGATATTTGAGGCTTTTACGGTGTACATGAATACTCTGGGCTTCCGGATTGGAGCCGCGTAAGTTAGCCATTTTATTCCGATGTTTCATGAACACTTCAATTCACTTCATCAAAGAGGAGCAACCTGATACCTGAGTTGTTCCTTGAGAGAAACTTATCTCTCTATGTAGTGACATAGGGAGGAGCTGGAGTCTAAAGGAATATGCCGAGGGGGAAACCGCTGACCAAAATCTTGTACCAAAATCCCCAGTGGGCATTAGTTTATCTTATTATCTTATTTTATCTTTATAATGCCCCAGCAAGGCCCAATGCCCAAAGAAATGCCTAGTAATGCCCAGTAATGCCGCAAATCTGTACACCGCAATGACCTCAGTGGTTTCCCCCTCGAAATATGCTATAATTTTTCCTTTCTATTTCCTTTACTTTAATAACTTTGTATAATTTTATGAAAAAAAAAACTGTTATACGTATATAATATTAATATAATACGTAAAGAGTAAAGAGTATCGAGTAAAGAGTCGAAAGTTTGGATAGGATCTTTACCTTCTTTGATAAAAAAAATGTTTTAGTTTAGTTAATGTTTCCCCTATTTTTCAAAGTTTTCGAATTTTTGAATGCAATATTAATTTGCCTGCTTACACAAAAGCTGTTTCGATCAAGTTTTATGTTACTCTTGCACCAACGACGGTCCGAGGACGGGTCAAAACGTCAGAAGTATAACAAAAGTCTCTTTATACCAAAAATAGGTCACCGAGAGTAGCTTGAGGGCTGGTCAAGCTGGCCAGGAGAGTCAAATAACTGTTTGACACGTCAGCTTTTAAAGCCTCGTACCTCGAGTAGGCACGTAACTCATCGTCGCGTCTCTTTGATTCACAAAAAGTTGAGGGTGTTTCGCAAAAAGGGGGAAAAGCTCACTGATACATCAGATATTAGTATGCCATTTTAATAAAAGGACGTCACTAAAGATTCTTGGTCTGTGATAGATGATGATGTAAGATGTTTCCTGCGTAAGATGTCATGGGTCCAATTTGTCTTTTTTAAACGACAGAAAATCAAAATCGCACAACGACGACTTTTATACCGATACCTTTATGAAATATATTACAATCTAGGTATGAAACCAAGTCGTTTATCATCATTTTCGAGTGCCTCGAGAAATATGGCTGAAATGAGATTATTTGATTATACATGCTGCCGTAAGAACCTGTGATAAAATCACTGATTTTCCTTGAGGGTGGAGGTTTAATATAAAACTCTGTAACGAAATTATGGTAAGATAATAAATTATAATAATTTAATTCGCTGTGAGAAGATAAACTTTCACTAACAGTAAGGGCCAGTTTCACAAACGTCGGTTAACTGTTAACCAGAGTTCAGTCAACTTCCTATCTTTTTCTATTTTGTTATCTAAGAAGAGACAGAGAATCAATTAACCTTCGGTTAGCAGCTAACCGACGTTTGTGAAACTGGCCCTAAAGGAGCTACGTTTATAAAGAAAATATAGCGGATAACAAAACTGAGTTTTTTTTTCTAAACAAAGATGTTTCTCTCATTATCTATTGCTGTTGCTTTTAATTCTGCTCTACTTACAATCAAAATTTCTATAACAAAAAGGGCCTATTAATTGATAAAAGGTAGCTGAAGCTAGTGACATTCATATATTGTAGCAACCCTTGAACTACATTCGAGCGACAGTAATAAAATAAAGGAAAAAGGAATGCATGTACATGACGGTGGAATTTTCATTACATTAGTTCGAACCGCAAAAGAGAGTCAAGTTCCGCGTGTGAACGTGGGAGAATGGGGTACGTGACGGCGTTTCACAAGCGTGGCGTTCAACTGAGTGTGCACTAATTGGCTGCCGCACGGCCGCTGCTAAACGCGTGTGAAACGTCGTCCACTGTCCCGTCGTCGTAAGGTGCTAAAGGGTTGGGGAAGGGCGGCAGCATGTATAATCAATATCGAGGTCATTTTCGAAGGCTGCGATAAATCGCGCGCCACCTTGTAAATGGATAATAATAACGCATACGTAGCTCGCGTCAGTAATTCGTTCGGTCAATCTGCCCATAAGAGGATAGCCTTTACTTAACGACTTGACGCGCATTAGCAGAAGCGGACTAATTAGGCTACAAATACACCTAGTAGCACCTTTTGGAGATTGCGACGTTGCATAAATACATTCGCATTGTTATTTGCAGGAACGTTAGAAATATTTGCCTTGTCACAGACAATAACGTATTGTGCTTATTTAAAGCTATTAATGGAAACCGAAAAAAGAAGTGATTGATTTATAAAACTGAGGATAGCCCGTCCTCGGAATTATGATAATTCGTATATATTATATTCAACAAGTTGCACGAAAACACAAAATTATTCTATTGAGATTTAGTATCTATATTTTTATCAGATGTAAATGAGGTAAAAAAGTTATGAATTTAATAAATCCGAGAACGCATATTTTTAATTAGGTGATTTATGTACTACAGATATTATACACTTCCTTCTTTGTGACATTTTATTTACTTTCACATGCTTGAATTAAATTTCTAGTCTATTAATAAATACCTCAGCGTCTTTATTTGTCGCTAAAGAGTGAATGGTTAGCTTATTACAACTTATTATACATCGGAATAAAAATGTCAGCATCGAGGGAATAAAAGTTTGAGGCACGGACTTTGCACCATCTCCGAATTCACTGTTGAGATAACGGAGGACAATGTATCCATGAGGGTGCAGTGAAAATTATTGCAAAAACACTGGGTGGCCGTTGTATCCTCTTTATCTTTCGGCCGACGGAACTTAGCGTCGCTTAAAGGAGCAACGAGTTAACGAGATCGGAACGCCGAGAGATAAGAGGATAATGAGATAAGATCCTTGGCTGGGGTAAAAAGAAAGGAACGGGAGGAAACAACCATACCCGGGGGCTAAGAGCTGTACGTTCTTCTTTGATATTTGTCTCGCACCGCGCTCTCACTGCCTACTGGCCTAAGCGTCCTTTTGCGCTTCGTTTAACCACGCTTGTAACCACGTCCGCGCAACGATCACTGTAGCGACCAAATACGTACAAGTGAACAAATGCATCGGGATGTCGCTCCCGATATACTCGCCTGGGAGGGCAAAGCGTTTCCGACTCGAAATAATTTCCTCTCGTAACAGAGTTACTTCCTCTCTATCGTTCAGCGACTCGGGAAACCGATAAAACTTTCTTGACGATAAAATATATTTTTCTACTTTGAACGAGTAATAAATGCGAGCAACGTGGGGTATGTCGCATTCTCGGCTCAAGTTCGGCCGTGACGCCTAGTTATTTTAGCTGTGCAACGCCAAAGTTTCAAACGACCCGAGAATATTAATATTTAAAAAAAAAGTAAACTGTTTGTTAACGTAGGGTTAAATACATCCCACGTTTCTCCCCTGTAATCGAGAACGTCGACCTGGAACGATACTCGGGTGTTGTGATTCACGCCAGACAATCGTGAAACTTTTAAGGACGATATAGAGGAAGACTTCGATGTTCAAGTCGCAAACGTTTTCCCCTTTGTCGCGCCGGGAAGAAATTTTTGCTCATACTTGGGAATTCTGATGAACTAATCGAGAGCCCCCGCTGCCTTCCTTTGGCTCTGGACGCTGACTTCTTGTCCTACCTTCCTTTTATGCTTCTGCGCTTTAAAGGTAATCCTTTCCGCGCCTATTGATCCGCGCGAATATCGGCGATCATGGATTTCCCCGTATAAGGCGCATAATGCATTTTCATTGTTGGACACAGGCTGTGACAAAGAAGAAAAAGCGCGCGCATGTGAGCGAGCGTATCTTCTTTTTCTTTATGCTTCTTGTGTACAGAAAGTCACGTAGTTAACTTACGTGAGAATATAATCTCCGATAGGTTCCTACAATACATATATATTAATTTATGATTTTTATCTTTATATGTGACTATTATAGAGATTGAAAGAAGATTCAACATTTTTTTGATAACATTTAGATAAAGTTTCGAAATTTTGGTAATACCGAAAGGATTGATTTATGTCGCTATTCAATGAAAACATTTTATGTAATATGGCATTAAACCATTTATAATTTTTATTTGTCGAATATAAACCATTTTCGCATTGTTTTCTATATGAAAAATATACCAAAGTTACATTGAAAATTAAGATTTATCTCAATTATATTATTTCGTGGCTTCATTTCTCGGTCTATTTATTATTTTTCTTGAAAAAGAAACTGAGGAATAGACGATTTGTGACCAGGCTTGTTGTTAGATTCCGTTTAGTTAGTGAAGAGTATTAAATAATATTGTACAGCAAACGCTGTAGCTATCACGATTAACGATTTTAATGTTTTAGCCTCTACTTTGCGTTTCCGTTTATTACTGAAAACGGCGACGTAGTTTAATGATACTTCGACTGGACAGCCACGTAATTTCTAGCAAGGCCGTTACGAATAATGAGTTACTGAGGAACGGACTAATTGAGTTTGTGTCTCGACCGGCGAAACATCTCGCCTGGGGAAACGGAGACACCCGTTTTCGCGATGACCAGAAGCACCGGAAGGCTTAATGCACCGGTTGCATGCCGGATTCACGACAACCGCCGAATCCCACGAAACTTCCTGCGAGCTTGTTTCGATTTCCGTATCCTCGAACGTTATCTGGGCGGCAGTAGCCGGCTTCGGGAAGCCGGAACGCTAGCTACGGGCTGCTGTTTGATCCTATTTAAGACTACGCCGTTGCGTAACTTCGTATCATAACTT